TATAAGTTCTCAATTTTAATTTACTTGAATATACCAATACTTTCCTATATTTTATACTTTTGTTGTGTTTGTATTTAAGAAGTACACCAAAATATGTTCTATATTGTCTTTGGAAAGTGTATAACTAAACTGTTCACATTTAGATCTTCTACAAATACCAGGAGAAGTTTTTTATATGACATAAGTTAATTTCATTTTTCTCGTAGATAACCAATTATTCTGGTACTATCTATTAAGAAGCTCATTCTTTCTCCATTGATCTACATTATCAGCTCTGTCATGAATCTAATTTTTATATATTTGTGGGCCTGTTTCTAGGTCTCATATTACCTTTCATTGCTCAATTTGTCTATTACTGTCTGTATTACTTAGCTAAAAACATTTATATATTTTTAATATGGGCAAGGCAAGGCTCCAACCTTGTTGTTCTTTAGGAGTGTCTGAGCTATTTTTGGGCCTTTGTTCTATCAAAGAAATTTGAGAATCACCTTGTCAATTTCCAGATACACAAAAGTGAAGTTATAATTGCACTGTTTCCTATAGCTGTTGAGAAAGAAGTCAACTGGAAGTTTAATTGTTGCTTCTTTGAAGGTATTAAAGGGCAGTTTAAGAATTGTTTCCTTATCTATGTGGTTTGCAGATGAACTATAACGTGTCTAGTGTGGCCTTTTATTTTTACTGCTTAATATGCATTGGGTTTCTAGAATTTGTGGGTTAGTGTATTCCATTCTAAATTTTTTTCAGCCATTATCTTCTTTAATATTTCCTCTGTTCCCTCATCTCTTTCTGAAATCCTACTTAAATATATGCTAGACTTTCTTACTTTATCCCTGTTTCTAAATATACTTTTATTTATTTTTATTTTTTATTTTTAGAGAGAGAGGAAAGGAGACTGAGAGAGAGAGGAATATCCATCGGTATGCATCCCAACCAGGGATCGAACCCACAAACTGGGCACGTGCCCTTACCAGGAATCGAGCCAGTGACCTTTCAGTGTGGTTCATGGGATAACACTCAACCAACTGAGTCACACCAGCCCTGGAATATCCCATACGTTTCTTAATTTCCATTTCATATTTTCCATTTTCTCTAGGCTGCATTCTAGATAATTACTTAAATTCAATTTCCCAATACATTAATGTTTTTAGCTGTATCTAATCTGCTGTTCAACCTGAATGAGGAAATTTTCATTTGTTATTATTTTTTTCATTTCTAGAGGTCTGATTAGTACTTCTTCAAATCTTCTTGCTCTTAACCACATTCTCAAACGTCTCATTCTGGAAATTGAAGCAAGCACTCTTATTTTATATTCGGGCTGGGTAATCCTGATGTCTGAAGTCCTTACGGGTCTAATTCTCTGCGTCTGCTGTTCTCCTTACTCTTGTTCATGGTCTCTTGCTTCACTGTATACAGTGTTTGTGATATGGAGTAACTCATTTCCCTTGGAATTATGGTTCTATTATTACTTATTCTTCTCCATTTTGTTTTCTTTTTCTGGTATTCCTATTAGCTGGATTTTGACCTTTCCACCCCAATTAATCTTCCATGTATCTTAACTTCCTTTCAAATTTTCCATCTGTCTTTTGCTTTATGTTCAGAAAAAAATGTTTTCAACTTTATATTACAAATTATAGACTCAACTATTAAGAATCATTTCTATTAATTTTTGTGAACCATATTTTTAATTCTCAAGTACTCATTTGTTCTGTAACTGCTTCTTTTTCATACCAGTCTGTTCTCTCCTTTTATTTAATAATTTCAAATGTTTCTGAAGGCTGTAACTATACATTTTTTCTTCTGTTTCTTGAATTAAGTGTATTTCCACTGGCGTCAGTCCTCTTTGGTACTTATTGGTGACACATTCATGTTTTGAGTGATAGCAGGCTGGTTAACAAAGGTAACTGATGTGGGTTTCCTGTAGTAGTACATTGATCCATTTCCATAACACACATCTCCCTGGTAGGAAATGCTGCTCTGAGCTCTTTGTAAGTGGGAGGGTATGTTAACTGCAGACTTTATCCAGGGTTGGGAGAAGAGAGACCTCAGGACAAGCTGGGAGCCCTGATCCTCTCATCACGCTCCACACCAAGGAAGAAGTCCTTTACTCCGGGTGTGCAGCATTTTTGTTTATTTCCATCTTGAAAAAAGTTAACTCTTCTTCCCCCACTCACATATGTCTTTTTTTAAAGTCTGGTATTACCTCAGAATCTATACCACTTCTCTTAGGTATCAACTAGGGCCTCTGGTCACCTGTTCTTTTCTTAGCAAACGATACTGTGTTATTTGGTATTTTGTTGTTTTGTTTTGTTGGTTTGTTTTGGGGGGGAATCCAGACGGAAAGCTCTGTATGAGAACCAGCTAGGATGGGGGTGGAGGGGCTAGAGGTGGAAGAACGGCCCAGGTCCCTACCACTCTCTGCGCGCCAGGCCTGTTCCCTGTGAGACTGAGCAGAAATCTGGGGTCTGTCTTGGAGTCCCAAGGACAGTCCCACCACCACTACAGCTGGTTCCTGTTTGTTTCATTATGACCGTCCTTGCCCAGGATTACTTCATAGGAGGGTCCTGTCTACTCTCTGTTTTCCAGAACTCACCTGAATTTCTGGTTTGTTGATGCACCCCTTTCTGTCCTCAGCACTATTACAGATGTATGTCCATGGCGACAAAGTTCTGGTTATTTAAACAGAGATTCTGGAGGGAGGGGGAGCGCTCATGCTCAGTCTGCCCCTTGAACAGGGCACCTCCAGACTTTAATAAAATGCAGACATAGGTCACCTCTTTTAATATTTAAGTTTCTCAATGTTTAATAAGCTTTTATTTTCTAAAATTAAATTAACCAGTAATTTAGCAAACTGACTAAAGTATCCTTTAAAAGATCTGGCTTAAAAATAATTTTCTGTTCAATTAACATACTCTTTTCTCTTAGTATCTATATCATACAACATCTCCAACTTCAAAAAGAAAAAGCAGCCCTGACCTGAAGTGGTGACGGTTAGCTCATCAATCCACACACACACACATTTCGTGTTTGGTTTCTCTAAAGCTCAGAGTGTTTTTTATTTTCTACATATTTACGAAAGTCACGATTCCAAAAACTGTAAGGATTCCAAACCAAATACAAGAAGCAGCAGAGGCGTGCTGGTGAGACCAGCTCTCCTAAAGCTTTAATGTGCTATAATCCAGGTGAATGCTCAGATTTTTAAACAGTGATATTATCTGTATATAGATGTGCTTGGCTTTAGGAGACGATTTATTTTAAAAACACAAAAAATAACCTCCTTACCCCCAGAAAAGGAAAAGCCAATCAGAGATTTCCCTGGGCGATGGAATGCCAGAGGGTTTCATACCACACGCGGCAGGTGCCACCTCACATTCCACAGACGAGGGTCTGCTTTTTCATAAGCCAAACGCAGCTTCAGCTGGTCATTGTCAGGGCATGCTGTAACAACATGCCGGATGCACACAAAACCCACAGTACACAGTTATGGACAAGAATTCAACTCCACACTGAACCATCAGAAGCAACCTTTTTGGGGTCAAGGTAAGGGGATGGGAAGTCTGTTGTCTTCGGGGCAGACATCCCTGTATTCAAACTCTCGTTGTCATTTTTTTTTCACTAAAAACAAGGTTGGTTATTAACCTCAGAATCTCATTTCATCATGTGCAAAATGGGGACCATCAGGCCTACCTCATCCAGGCACTGTTAGGATTAAGTGAAGTAGCATGCGTCCAGGTGCGGGCACATGGAAGAGACTCAATACTTCCTTCCTTTGTTCTTTATGTCAAAAACTCCAAGCTGAGAGAAGGTACTTTTATTCACCTATTGTCTCCTCCCTCTGCCCTGAACTGTTTAAATTCAAATGGAAAGACACGCTGAGGAAAGTAACAGCACTTTTTCTGTATACTCTGGTCTTTGGCACACCGTGCTGACGCCTGCACAGCTCATGGACGTATCCGTGCATTTCTCCCGATTCCTTTTCTTACTACTGAATTTATGATGTTCTTTAGGGTTCAAGTCCCTTGGCATTTCTCCTCTTTGCTGGTATGTGCTCACAGCAAATTCCAGCCGAGGGTGAGATGATTGAGTGATATTGTCTATGCATCATTATGCCACCGTCGCCCTACCCTGACCTTTCTCCTGCTGTGCATGGGAAGTCTGGGCCTCCTAACACATCTCTCTGCCTGTCTTTTCTCCCCAGCCCTTCTGCCCTCACAGATGCTCAGTGAGTGAGCCTCAGTTCCAAAGACACATCTGCTTGCTCAGAGTGATTTTCATGTTCAAACACGGCTTTGTAATTGGCAAGGGGTACTCTCAGCTGACTGGCTGGTCATCGATGGAACAAAGCCCAGTCTTTGTGGACGTTGTTCATGACACGAATGAGATAGCGTGTGCATTTTTAATGCTCAAGAAAACATTAACAACAATTAGTAGTGCCAGAGAAGAGAATGAAAACACCACTTCATGGGATGATAACATCCTCTCTTTGACAACGAAGCCGTGACATTGGATTCAATAAGGAATTCCTTCCTAGACACTTCAGTCTGTCTGTCTCTGAGAGAGGGCATGGTTTCCGCATGGATTCTAAGGCCGTTAATCTTGAGGTCTTCTGATTGGTTCTCTTTGCCCATTCTTTTTCTGTCAATTTAGATAACTAATTAGTGTTTTTTAAAAATGTTTCCCCTCCACATATACCGGAAACCAGCTATAACAAAGAATAATGTTCCTTCAACCTCGATTGTTTTGATACCCACCATTTACGTTTTGGCCTCCTCCCCTTGAAAAAAGACAGAGGGGCGCTCAAGCTCACATGAACCTCATGCATTTGGAACATACTTGAACAAATGGCCCTCTTTTTCCCCGTTTGATTTTGTTTATAGTGAAATTCGTTCACAATTACTGTTTATTGCATACATCTCCCCTACTCACCCCTTCAACAGCCCCTCCTCCACCACCACCACCACCACATACACACTCATAAAGCTGTAGAGAGAAGCCTTTCTTACTTGGATTATTGTGTCCAGAGGAAACCAGCTGAGAGTCCTAAAAGAACAAGAAATATCAATTAACTTTCTCATTTTGACTTTTAAAATCTAAGTTGAATATGAGATATATTCCTGGTCAATTTCTACCAGCTACTGTAATGAAAAACATTTGCATAAATGTGTTTGTTAAAAAGTTCTGGTACAATAGTTCACAATCACTTCTCTTTTGTATTGTAGACTTTTTGTTTTGTTTATTGAGTGAAGTTCACATAACACAAAATTAGCCCTTTAAAGTGAACAATTCAGTGGCATTTATTACATTCACAATGTTGTACAGCCACCAGCTCTCTTTAGTTGCAAAATATTTCCATCATTTCAAAATAAAACTCCACAGCATTAAGCAGTGTCCCCCCAATAGCCCCCCTCCTCAGCCCCTGGCAACTCCCAGTCAGCATCCCGGCTCCATGACTTTATCTGTTCTGGACATTTCGTAGCCCTGGAATCATGCATCATGTGACCTTTTGTGCCTGGCTTCTTTCACGTTGCCCGTTGTGGAGATTCATCCACATGGTAGCTTGTATCAGTAATTCATTCCTTTTTGTGGCTGAATCATGTGCCATTGTGTGTATACACAACAGTTTTTATTAACAGGCCCATTCATCTGTTAATGCACATTTGGGCTGTTTCCACCTTCTGGCTATTGTGAGTAGTGCTGCCATAAACACACATGCATGTGTACTTGTTTGAGTCCCTGCTTTCAATCCTTTTGGGGATACACCTAAGAGGAGAGCTGCAGGTTCATGTGGCGATTCTATGTTAAGCGGCACTGCCAAACTGTTTCCACAGGGGCTGAGTCATTTTGCATTCCTACTAGCAATGTCTGAAGGTTCCAATTTCTCCACATCCTCACCAACACTTGTTATTTTCTGTTTTTAATTTTTATAAAATTTATGATAGCCATCCTAGGGGATGTGCAATGGTTTCTCATGTGGTTTGGATTTGTATTTCCCTAATGACTAATGATGTTGAGTTTCTTTTCTCTTTTCAACTCTGACTCGTTTTTAAAAACAACAACAACAAAGCAGCTTTATTGAGGCATAAACAATATAACACAAGCTGCACATATTTAAAGTACACAATTTAATGATAAATAGCATTAAAGGGCTGCTACTATTATCATCTTCTTGATTCAAGGACGGTTCCATTTTATTAAGTAGCACTTAGTATTTAAACAAAGAAGAGTAATACCTACTCATTAAAGAAAATTTAGAGGAAAGTATACAAAAGTTGTCTATAATCCCGAATCGGGTCATTTCGGAGGTTAAGCTGCTGCTTTTGGTTCGCCAGTGCGATTCAAGTGTGTCACCTGGCAGTCACATGCACAAAGGTGACACCCACTTCTGGCTTCTAAGAAGAATAGTTCCCGATGGGCATTTCTCCTTCTCCATCTTTAAATCCTGAATTCCCAAAACCTGAACGCTTGTCTGGTCTGTGGGAATCCTACAGCTTCTTTATATGAGCTCTATTTAGCTGAGAAGTCAAGTTGGTACAAATCCTTTTGCTGAGGACAGAAATCACCAAGCTCCCCAGTGTCTGAGGAAGTCATTCCACGGAGCGCCATAGCAACCACTATGTCCCACCAAGTGTGAGGTGCCATCAGAAGTGCAGGAGGCCGCGCGATCTCAGGGACCGCCAGCAAAGAAAACGGCTGCCAATTAACTGTGAGATGCCACCAGCTGTAAAACACACCCTGATTGGTAGGGAACTTACAATGTGAAAACCCACGCACCTTACATCAATAAGTCCACTCATCCTTAAGCCATGTTGCTGACGGAGGACAACACTCCTACTGTGCGAGCGAGCATTACTTCAAAACTGCGTTTTGGAACCACCTGACCACTGGGCCACTCACACCTCTCCTTGTCTGTCTACGAGCCCATTGTTAGAACTACAAAAGGCAAGAAATGCAAAACTATCTTCTCTTATTCTCTGATGCCTTCCCCCCATACACAGTGAGCTAATTCCTAGAGGAAAAAGAACCATCTGACTTGGTTTCATCGCCTTCCACCCCCACTAATCACTTTCTTCTGAATCCTATTCTATAAAGCATCAAATAAATAGTTAAGATAATGTAATTTACAAGGAATTTCAATGTTTGATTTGAGGTAATGTTAAACATGAAGTTTTTAGTCCAAACATTTTGTGGTAGTTTCTGAGGCATCCTAGCAACCCCTCGGAGGGAGGGAACCTGCCACTTTCCTCACCCCTGGCTTCCGTTCTCCTTCTGGGCGCCCAGAGGAGGCCAGCGCACGGGCATTTCTGTCAGGACGCCGGCGTTCCGCCGCACAATGCTTCACAAATCTGCCAGCCAGGACAGTTTCAGGCCAGGGCTGATCCCCGGACTCAGCACCCATTGCTCTGTGACATGTTTGTGAAATGCCATTAGGTGTGCCCGTATGCCTTCTGAGGATGGGGAAATTCTACAATTTTCAGTTCTTTATTTGCATTTCACAACTTTTGAGACTACTACAGAAATGAAAGGAAAAGGGCAAAGCAAATCCGCCCCCTCAACCTTTGTTGAAATAGCGGATAATGGCAGCCAATTTAAAGAAGTCACGTATTCTTTTCTTTACCCAATTCAATTACTCTTGAGATTTGAAGAATGAGGCAGACATGCCTGGTAGCATTTGTCCAGGAAACAGTGACTCCAGATGAAGTGTTCAGAGAATAGAAGAAATACCCACATTTGGTCACAACTGACCTTACTATACGTTATGTCCTTCCACACCCGGACAAATCGGGGAAATTCTCGGAAGTATTTAGCTAATTAATTCAGTGGCGCTGCCAACTCAGATGCACAGTTAAATCAACTTTCCTGGTGAGGTCAAGTCGCCCCTTTAATCTTAACAAGATTAGGCTTAATTCAATTATTTGTTACTCATTTAGGAGATTTTGCCCCTCAAATTCTATGAACAATTCTAGCTCCTTCATGCTGGCAATACAGTGATAATCTCAAATGTTAATAATCTATCTAATTAAGGAAATGCAAGCCTCCAGCTGACAGAACACTAATTAGTTGAGATTCAGGTTGGAAGAGGTACAGTATATGTCAAAATTAATGACAGTCTTGCAGTAGGCAGAACAAGGGCCCCCCAAAGATGTCTGTATCCTCATTCCCCGACCCTGTGAACATGTTACTTCTCATGGCAAAAGGGGCTTTGCAGCCGGGATTAATGATGAGTGTGGGGTGGGAGGTTATTCTGGGTTACCCAAGTAGGCCCGATCTGATATTCCCGTGTCCTGGCAGCCCCACTCTGTTGTTACCGCTCTGTCATTGGCTGTTCCGTGCCCATTGGCTCTGCCGTGGCCCCACTGGCCCTGCGGTGCCTCCCAGACCCAGGTATGCTCCTGCCTTTCCCCTTCTCTTCCATTTCCGTGGACCTCTCTGGCCCTCGTCTGCACGACCTGCTCCCTCACCTGCTTCAGGGAGTTGCTCAAATGCCGCCTCCTCAGAAAGGTCTTTCTTAAGCTCTCTATTGAAAAGTCATCCATTCCTAGTCACCATCAGCATTCACCTCCCCCTTGTTATGCATTCTATTGTCCCCTACTAGAAAAATATAAGCTCACCAAAAATCTACCAGAGCCGGAAGGAATTCAGTAAGTAGATATGTAAAATCCAGTGAATTTCCTTCACACCACTGAGGACTAATTAAAACATGAAAACTTTAAAAAAAAAGCTCATTTAAATACGAAAGTAAGCAAGTATCGTTAAATATCTGAGAATAAACCACAGAACCAATGTGAAAGAACATGCAAGAAGATATGAAAAGAAGTGAAGAGATATTCCAAATTCTTGGACAGGAAGATGATATTGTCAAATGGATATACTTTCTTAAATTAAGTTAGAAACCAAACAAAATCCCAAGAGGACTTTTTAAAGGAACAACAGGTCATCAAGATGATTCTTAAATTGATCTGGAAGAGAAAAATGTACAATAGGCAGGACTTTTGGATAATAAAGAAGTATACTGGCCTGACCACATGTATGTATAAATAGGCCAAAAATCATTAATAATTTAAACTAGGAGTCAGCCAAATATAGCCCACAGGCCAAGTATAGCCCAGCCTTTGATTTGTTTTATCTTAAACAATTGAATGCTTTTTAGCGTATTCAGAGTTTATGACCATAATACATTTTAGAATATTATCATCAATTTAAAAAATATCCTTTACCCTTTAGCAAACATTCAACCCTACCTCCCCACCTCTGAGCTTCAAGAAACCACTAACCTAATTCTCTGTCTTGCTATATTTGCCTACTCTGGACATTTCAAATATATGAAATCATATAACATAGTATGTGGTTGTTTGTGACTTTCACTTAGCATAACATGTTTAAGGTTCATCCACATTGTATTAGGTATCACCATTTCATTCCTTTTTATGCCTGAAAAGTATTCCATATGTTACTTGTGTGTATCTATTTATCAACAACATTTGTGTTGTTTCCACTTATTGGCTACTATGATTAATGCTGCTATGAATGTGCATGTCTAAGTTTTGTATGGATATGTGTTTTCATTCTTTGGGTGTATATCTAGGAGTGGAATTGCTGGTTCATAGGAAAATGCAGTGTTGGAGAAACTGCCTAAATATTTTCCAAAGAGGCTGTAACATTTTATGATCCCACCAGCAACTGAGAGCAGGTTTCCAATTTTTCTACACCCTTGCTCACACTGGTCACTGTCTGTCTTTGCTTTTAGCTATTTAAGTAGGTATGACTCATTTTCTCACTGTGATTTTGATTAATAATAGTGATAGTATCTTTTCATATAATTATTAGCCATTTGTAGATCTTCTTTGGAGAAATGTCTATGTAAATCCTTTGCCCATTCTTAAAATGAGCTATCCTTTTATTGTTGAATTATGAGTTCTTTATACTAGTATATTACTAGAGGCCTGATGCATGAAATTTGTGCAAGAGTAGGCCTTCCTTCCCCTGGCTGCTGGCACCGGCTTCCCTCTGGCACTCGGGACCCAGGCTTCCCTCTGGCCACTGGCAGGCAACCAGGACCCAGGCTTCCCTCGCAGCCCCATCTTCGTCTGGAAGGTCTTCCGGAAAGATGTCTGGTCTAATTAGCATATTATGCTTCTATTATTATAGATGCTGTGACCTGTTTCTGTAAATAAAATTTTATTTGAACATAACTACAGTCATTCATTTATATATTGTCTGCAAAGCCTAAACTATTTATGTCCTGAGTCTTGACAGAAAAATCTTGTCAACATTTGATTTAAACAATGGGAAAGAAGTAAATACACTGAAAAAACAGAATAGATACTCCTGAAACAAATCTATGTATTTATGAGAAATTAAATTGCTGATAAACACGGTATTTCAAGATAGTGGGGGGGAATATGAGCTAATTTTATTAATAGTGTTATAATAATTTACTAGCCATTTATAAGAATACAACTAGAATTCTATGTTATACCATTCACAACGTTTTTTTAAACCTAAAACCAAAACTATAAAAGACTTAGAATAAAATAGAGAACATTGTTAGAATATTGGTGCAGGGAAGATTTTTTTAAATCTCTGACAAAAATTAAACACTTTGCTAGTATAAAAGATACATAAATCAAGTTACAAGAAAATAGTTGTATCATATATAATAGACACATGAATAAGCAATAAGGAGTTCCTAACAAATCATTTTTAAAATGCGATATGAATGGGCAATGACTATGAATGGGTAAGTTGCAAAGGAAAAACAGCCTATTGTTAAACTCAGAAGAAATTGGAGAAATGCAAATGAAAACAATGAGACAGCAAATTTTCACCCAGAAACAAGGATAAAAAGTCGGATAATATTAAACGCTGGCAAAGATGCACAACAAAGTGCTCTGGAAATGCAGTCGAGAGGAATTATGGCTTCGGATGCCTCCAGCACCACCGTTCCTGCTCCGGCATCAGTACTGGGAACATTCAAAGAGGCACCTGCCACACATTGTTTGTTCAAACAGCGTTTGTGATAATAACCAACCATAAACAACCTGAATGTCCATCAAAAGGAGTTTGAGTCAATAAATTACGGCAAATTCATCTAGGAAATATTTTGCTGCTGTTAAGAAGAATGAAGAAAAAATATATTCACTTGGAAAGCTCTCCAAATACATTTTGTTAAGAAAAGGAAAAAACTGTTAGAATGGAATTTATCATTGTGATGATTATAATAAATACTTATTTCAATAATTCACTAGAGAAAGTTGATATGACTACTTAGCAAGGATATTTATGTATTTCGGGTATCTGGAAAAATTTCAACCCTTAGAAAAAATGCTTTTAGCACAATACCATTTATGATTTTTAAAAACTGCATATGCACATATATGTATATGTAATGCACAGAGAGAATGACTGGAACGTTACACATCAAACTCTTGTTTGTATGTAGTCCCTGGGTAAGGGAAATAAAATCTGGATGAGGGTACTGGAAACTTTCATATTTCGCTCCTTCTATTTGCATAATTTCACCTTTGTAATGAGTATGAAGTTATATGTTGTATTCAAACAAAACATATTAGACTCATGTAAAACTTAAATATATTTTGTGGTTATTCTTTTTGTGTACTTGTCTTTAGAAAATATGGAAATCTTTTCTTTTAAATTCCTAGATAATATTTTATGCTTTTTAAAAGATATCTAAGAGGAATTAAATACTACCTGCCCTCAATTCTAAGACATTGATTTTAAGATTCATTATTAATTTAAACAGCTTTTTAGGAAAAAATAAGCAATCACACTGAATGTATAACATTATTGTAAGAAGCAACTTCACAAATGTTCTCGATAAAATGACACATAATATGCATCACATTTTGCATTAAGTATGGAAGTGTAGGTGTAAAATTGCAATCTTCATTTTCCCCTTTGATGAATAAATCTATGTTTGAAAAATGTTGAAAATCAGATCCATATGCCTCTGGCAGGAATATTTTCAAAGGAAAAGACAATAAAGGGAAGTCCCACTGTCCCTGGAAATTCTGCGTGGAGACAGCAGGCTGCTCCTGAGTGACACAAGACCTCACCTTATTTGGGAATGAAAATTTGCTGGGTTCCACCTTGCCAGGCGGCTGAATAGCAGAAAGTGGTGGAAGCCAGGTCATCTCCTAAAGGGAAGAAAACCAAACAACATTAATACAGAGCGCATTTCAAGTCGGCAGCATCTGAAGCAGCCATAAAGCCTGCCTCGCTAAAGCACGGAGGGGTAAGAAATGAACAAGAGATGAACGGGAATGAGAGGGATTTAAAAGAACAACACAGTGAAACCCACTTCTATGATTTCTCCCCATAATTTTACCAAATTCTTGGTTCCATGGCTAGCCTTATGTCCCCTTTATACTTTAAGTAGAGCTACAAGGTTGTCCTATTTTCACTTCAATTAAGCTCCTGAGTAAAGGGACAACACGGTGGTAAAAGTTCTATGGAAAATGCCACACACAGGGGGCTGTTTCTCTGGGACCTGATCCCACAAAATTCTCAGGGTGTTTCTGCAGGACTGCATACCGCACTTTCAACTTTAGGAATCAGCATTGCAGGAGCTGTTTATTTTATTAAAACTCACATCAGTATGAGTTTCCAGTAAGCACCCCCCCCATCACTTTCCTCTTCATAAAAATGTCATTCATGGAGAAGTGAAGACACAATCACACATATGAAACCAAGAGGAGGCGTGTGGTGACGTTTATAACAGTATTAAGAAGACAGCTTTGGTTCACCATGCAGTGGTCTGCCACATGCTTCCTGACAGGCACTTTCACGAAGCTGAGAGGGGCAGGGTCCCCTGGTCACCTCCAGCATTCTTCGCCAGCCCATCTCCTGGAAGATATCTGTGTTCACTAAGTGACTGTAGATTAAACTGAATCAATTTCTGATGACCAGGAAACTGACTTAGAGTTGACAGAGACTCTGAACCCGACTGCTTGATTTACATCCACTTCCAAACCCAAGCAAGCATAGGAGCAGGTGGTCCAGTTTAAGAGATGTGAGCAATTCTCTTTAGGCGAAGACGTGTTCTCAGTTCCCTTGGTTGGGGGTGGTTCTATCAGGTGTTTGGAGTGAGAGTTTCTTGAGGATGGTCTTGTGCCTTCTGTCCCCGGGGAAGTCTCCTCCCCCAGCACGTCAGGTGGTGGAGACCCACCCAGGGAGCAGGGAGAGGGAGTGCATTCACACCTCCTTGGAAGGATCACTGACCCTCCGTCATCTCCCGCCCACGTGACACATGTACCATAGGTCGGTTAGGCTCCTATGACCTGAGGTGTCCCTTCTCCATTCTGCTGGCACCAAGGTTTCGTCAACGAAAGCACAGGAAGACTCAGTGACCCTTTCTTGCCTCTCACCTCTCTCCCCAAGTATCTGCACACCCTACTCTGTGTCTCTATCCCTGTTGTCTCTTGTGAAGACTGTGTCCAGGAACAGAGTGGGTCCTCAGTCCATTTTTCAATGAATAGAAAATTAGACAGTATCTCTGCAATGTATCTGCCTTTCTTTCTGGTTACCCGAACTATCATCCTAATCGCACCTTTGTTATTTTTAACCTGAATGACTTTAGGAGCTTCCTGATTGGTTCTCTTTCTTCACTTATGATGAAGCCATCCTCCACATGTCTGTCAACCTATTTTTCCTGAAGTGCAGATGGCCACGGAAAGCACCACTTCTACAAGACATTCATCTACCACCACATGTACAACAATGACGACTACGAGGGCCTCGACGCCTCCTGCGGTGCTTACAGTTTCAGAACATCTCCACACGAGCCTTCCCATTCACACCCAACCTTTAGTAATCACTATTACACCCACACTGGAGGTGAGGGAGGGAAGGCGCAAAAAGATTAAGTGATTTGCCCAAGTTCACTCAGTTCACGAACGCCACCGCTGAAGTGTTCACGCACGTCTCCTTCCGCCCAGTCCAGTGTTCGCTTCTCACTCTCCCGCATCTGCCCCAAGGACAATGGTATTCAAGACCTTCTGCGATAAGGTCCCAGGTGTCAGCTTGGTGCCTTTTATTAATCTACACGCACGAAGGATAAGAAAACGACAGTCTCTGCTATGACTTACACTTCCCCCCGTGTGTGTGACTGCCCTACCCCATATGCCTTTTGGATTTCTATCCATCCATTAGGGCTCCTCTGAAACATCATTTATGTCATGGGCCTCAGCTGATTGCCCTTCTAACCCAATGTGATATGACAGTCCCCTTCTCATGCTCCTCCAAAGCACTACTTCTCCCTCTGGTTGTAACTCTTAGGTTCCTTTCCTGTGTTTAGTTTTATAAGCATACACCTCTATCTGTGCGCAACCATTCCGCTTTCTTCTAATACCCTTCCCCCCAATGCAGAATAAAACAATTCTCGGGAATCCTAATAATCTCTCTCAAGAGTATTCAGTTTTACTAAACACAACCCCAAGAAGGAATCCTAATAATTTCTTTCAAGAATATTCATGTTTATTAAACATAACCTTTAAAAACTTAGTTATTAAATACTTAGTTATTAAATACTATGTCGTTTCCACCTAATTAGAGCATGAGAAGGGAACCAGCATATCCTATACGAAGGAATAATAAAGACAATTGTGCTGCTTGAAACACTTACATCTATTAGAATTTCCAAAAATACACACTTATTTATATGAACTAATTAAATATTTGTTTTTAATGATTATGCAATGACTTAAGACTGATTATCCACTATATTAAAATTCTCCATTAGGGTTGCATGGAAAAAATTAAGGGCAAATAGACTATTTCTATTTCCTCTTCTGTCACTTACTAGCTCAATAAGCTTGAGTAAGTCACATTGTCAGTAACTTGTAGTGATTTCAAAGCACAGACTTTCGAATCAGTCTGATCTCAATTTGTGGTATCTTAGAGCCAGAGAAAATAGAGTTGCTAACTAGCTCATGGTTTAATCATGAGCATTAAATGAGATAATACATATAAAGAGCATAGCATGGTTCTCTTATGTTTAATCATTCAATAAAAGACAGCACTGATTAATATCAAGCTTAGTTTCAGAATTCTTGTCTCTAAAATAAGAAATCAAATTTCTCTCTGGGCTTTAGATGTTGAGAATCTGGGGATAGAAGACTATATGGAAAAGTGTTTTTACCGAAGAATGTGGGTATTATGCAAATGTAGTCTATAATTAAGCTAGCAATTGTTAATTCAAACTACATACTGCTAAAACATAAAGTTATTTAAAGAGTTTATTATGATTCTTAAGTATGGTATGTATTTTCCATTGGAGAAAATGTCCCTAAGTTTTCTCAAGGGAATGGAATTCTGACGTAATAATAGTAGTCAGTGAGATAGGATTTGAGGAGAAGGTGTTTAGTAGTTTATCATTTTCTGGTAGTGACTTAATCTGTAAGCAAAGGGGAAATTTCATAACTGCTGAAACTTCCCTTAGTTTGCCTCACTACACAGGGTAAGAATGCTATTTCATTGCAAGGCCACCAATCCCATGCGCCGTTCCACACCCTGCCATGCTCTGGACCTCCCAGCCTCAACCGTCCCTTCCTTACTGCTTCACTCCTACTTCCTCCACTTAGGTGCCCTTCTGTCACATTCTGGACAACAGGTAAGACAGGACGAGAAATAGGATGTTTAAAGCCAAGTATGCCAAAGTCCTTCTGATCTCACAAACTCCTCTATTACTGCCTGTCTGTCTTCCTTCCTTTTTATTTTCTTGTCCCGTAGGAATGAGGCCACCCCCATTCCCGAGCACGGAGAGGTCCTCGGTTTGGAGCCGATGGATGAGATTCAGAACCAACATATCTGTGTTCACACAGCCTCCCAGTCCCAGCCCTCAGCAGATGTCTTGTTACCCAAGGGACAGATTTCAGGGCGTCTTCCTATTTCTCAGACAGACGCAAAATGCCAAGTCTCTTTATAGCCAACACATTCATTTTTCTCCTAAATGTAAGAACAGATGGTTAAATGATAAGAGTAGAGAACACTGCATTGCATTAACTGTCCAGCTTTTCTCCATCCTCCAATTTCCAGAACACCATGGGGCACGCACGAGGTTTCCAACCTCATGCCTACTGCATAGCAACACAAACCGTGAGTCCCCAACATCCATAGCTTCAGGGAATTAGAGTGCTTCTCTTGCACAACGCCCTCTCCCTCCATGCAGCTGCCCACTTACTGTGATGTCTCCTGCATCAGCCTGTCTTAGGACAAATGGTTGACACTTAGGACACCCATTCACTAAGCAATGTAGCTCTTTGTTATTTAAAAAGAGGAGAAACAAAAATTAAATGTTAGCCTGAAATATAATCTTAGAGTTCAAAGTGTACAGTTATGAAGATCTGCAAAGTACATTTAGCTTGCAGACAGGTTAAGCAAGAAAAAAATGTAAAAATATTTTAATTTTCCTACTAAAAACAGTAAATGGAAAAATACTTTCCCTGGTCTCTTTTCCTATCTATGCTTCCCCATAGCCACAGATCTCAGCCACAGCCACCGACCCCAGCCTCCGATATCAGCCATGGCCACAGATCGTGGCCATGGGTCCCAGCCACGGCCACCTCTCTCAGCAATAGCCGCCAAACCCAGCCAAGGCCATGGAAGTGTTTTCTCAAAAATCGTTACTATGATGCACTTGCTCAGAAGCTCCCAGTGACCCTGCTCCAACATTGAAGGTGCTCTGTTACAGGGAGCCGTCAAGGAACACACAGTGCCACTGCCTGTTCCCCTCCTGGTGCAGTGTCACTGCCTGTTCCCCTCCTGGTGCAGTGTCACTGCCTGTTCCCTCCTGGCACAGTGTCACTGCTTGTTCGCCTCCTGGTGCAGTGTCACTGCCAGTTCCCTCCTGGTGCAGTGTCTCTGCCCGTTCCCCTCCGGGTGCAGTGTCACTGCCTGTTCCCCTCCTGGTGCAGTGTCTCTGCCCGTCCCCCTCCTGGTGCAGTGTCACTGCCCGTTCCCCTCCTGGTGCAGTGTCTCTGCCCATTTGCCTCTTGGGGCAGTGTCACTCCTGTTTCTCTCCTGCACAGTCCTCCCCAAGCCTCGGGGTTAACATCCATTCCTCCTGTCCTGCCCTAGGTTTCCTGTCCCGACATTTGTCATTTCTTTTCCTGTTATTTCTAACTTGACTTACCTCTTC